GGTCAAACCGTGTCCGACTACTGGTGGTCTCGACGCACGATTTTCCTGACAAGTGTACGGTTGGCAACTTCCATACGAATAAAATATGAAAACAACTGGCATCCCGCGTGAACCGCGATCATCCAGTCGTACAAAAAGGAGTGGCGCTTCGCTGACTCTGTCCCCACGTGTAAAAGGTACGCACATGTACCTCATTCCGGCAGCTGAAAAGGAGTTCAATCTTGGATTTGGGGGGCGGTGAGATCACACCGGGTGCGAACTCACCGACCCCGGTGCGTAAATCGAATGAATTTTTTTTCTCGGTTTTTTTATCGCACCCCGGTGACATCTTTCCGACCGGTGCCAACTCTCCGAAACTGTGACGGTATTTCATTTGATGTTTTGTCGGATACTGCCTCTACGTATGTATGATGACGCATGAATGGATCGAGTATCAAGGGGCCCTCCATGTACAAACCGTGGAACACCCCCCCCCAGGGCCATNATGTATGATGACGCATGAATGGATCGAGTATCAAGGGGCCCTCCATGTACAAACCGTGGAACACCCCCCCCCAGGGCCATGATTGACACGCGGGATAACCACATTAGGCGGCATTGCAGCGGTCTACTGTATAGGTTTTAGTGTGACGGAATAATGACCATTGTAAAACCATACTCTTCATTGTAAAGGCTTTCTTGCCGCATTCTGAAACCCATACAGTACTCAATATTGTATAGGCTTTAGCGTCGTCATACTACATCCTATACCATACAATAGACCCCCCGCTCTTCGCGACCCCCGCCCCCCCCGGTGTTTGCCGTTGGGGTTGAGTTTCCATCACTTGGAAACGACGTTGTAACACAAGCCGCCCCCCCCGGTGTGTGTCATCGGGGTTGGGTTTTCGTCGCTTGGCAGCGATGTTGCAAAACAAGCCGATCACTTCGTGAGCTCGGCAAGCAGGTTACCGCTTTTTCTTTGTTTATGCTTTGAGTTTTTTTTATTGCGGTAACCATGAATGGTGGTCGAGTAGATTATGTTGTGAGGGGTCGAGAACCCTCACTCCGCGCACAGGGGATACGTAATCGCTCCACGTTGTGTTAAATTAGTCGCCCTCGAGGCAGTTACCCAGTGCTTAAACCTGTCTCTGGAAGGGGAGACGCCACAAAATAAATTAAGTCATCCGCAGCTGTCATCCGCACACAAGGAGGTAAGCACAAGATGGATGTTAGATATACTCGCAGCAGTATCTGGTCGTGAGGATCCCAGGGGGACACGTGTTGGGAATTTCGTGTGTTGAAGGGTACCACCGGCGCAGTCACGGGGACCCTTTGGGCGTGGTCTTGCGATGATGCGGAAGGTTTGCGTGCGTGCTGCGCACTTGCTCTTCTTTTTCTTCCCTCTATCTCCACCACCACCACCGTCTCTCTCCAATCAAGTTTCCTTCTCCCACTCTCTCTCCAACTCTCGCTCAACCTCTCTCTCTCGGCCTAACACGGCCGACTACCCAGTGCCCCAAAGCAACGTCCAGAACGTGCTTGCTGCACCCCGCGTAGTTTACCTTTCACACTAGTGCGACGATATCACGGTATCTGCGCGCGGGCGTAGCCTTCCAGGGGTTGTGCAGTCACGCGCAATCGGTAGACTCCCATAACAACATAAATCAGTATATCTAACAGAGGGTATCGACCTCTCCGCCCTTGGCGAGCAAGAACTACAGAAAAAAGTGGAGGAGATCGTCCAGCAACGAGTACAAGCCGAACTTGAAGCCAACGGGATCAACGAGGGTGAAGTCACCTACGCCCAACCACCATCAGCCGGGAACCCAGTCCCACCTACCGGCAGTCAGCCATCACCCTCCAGCCATGGTAAAACAGCTATTTATCTTCAACGACCCCAGCAGCGTCGCACACATCGTGGCGCAAGCGGCCAAGGCGATAGCTGAGGCCATCGCTGAACAACAGGGCTTTGCCCGCTCAGGCACGTTACGTGTCAATCCTGGCTCAGAAATAGAACCTTGGCTTGGTAGCGTGAAGAATGAGCAGGATTTGTACATTATGTTTGATATTTTTCGGAGTAAGATGATTTCATATTTTCAGGAGGAGGGTGTGCATGATGCGTTGGAACTGGAGGTCGAGGTCAAGGTCGGAAAAAGGGGTGTGAATATAGGAGACCTTCGGAGACTTTTGGGAATGAAGTGGTAGACAAGTCATTCAAACTGTGGAATATCCTGATTAGCAAGGTTTTGCATCCCCCGATTCAGAGCTTGATTCTGGCGTGTGACAGTCCCCGAAAGCGCTGGAAAATCGTGACAGAATTCTATCAGGAGAAAAAGCAGTCAGAAAAATCGAGGTTGGAGCAGGACTGGAAGGAGTTGGAGATGAGAGAGTCCAAGAGTCCACAGGATTACATTGCCCGCTCAGAGGCCCTTCGCCTGCGTCTCGCATCTGTAGGCACAATGAAGGATGAATCAGATGCCAACAAAGACATTGCTCGAGGCCTTGCCTCTTCGTTGTATGCCGTGCAAAAAGGAATACTGCTTGCCCATGATGTCCTGACGTTGCGTACCCTTGAGACTGTGGTGAGGGACGCCCACATGAAGATGGAGCGCGAGAGGAGCAAGGGGGAGAGGCGCGAGGTGGAGCTCGCTCTCGCCGCGTCCGGCATGGGTCGGCGCGGCGGGGGAAGTGGGGGGGCATCCGGAGGTCAAGACGGCGGTCAGGTAGTAGCTGGCGGCCAAAATCGTGACGGAGAGAACAAAAATAGTGACGTGCTCAATGACAACCCCGGCGGATTTTGCCGCTACCACCAGTCCGCGCTTCACACCAACGAGCAGTGTCGTCTCCAGCAGCAACTGCGGCGCGCGCGTTCGAGAGAGGGCGCCGCGGAACGCCGCTCGGGCGGCGGCAGCCGCGGTGGCGGCGGTAGCCAGCGAGGGGGCAGACCGCCGCCGGGGCCAGGCCGCGGTGGCGGCCGATGGGTGAGGATAGAAGGGCAGTAGGACCACACCGGTCATGGTGGCGGTGGCTGGAGCCAAGCCTCAACCCCCCCGAGACCTCTTTGTGGACGTGGGCCTGGCGGCCGTCTGGGGCGTCACCCGGGGGATCGTGGGCCCGCGGGACGCCACAGCAGCGACGGGCGTGCCGAGAGAGAACGGGCAGAGAGAGGCCCGGGGCACGCGCGTTCTGGCCACGGAAGAGAGCAGGCGTACGTTGTGTACTACGCCCACGATGATGGTGGCTACTACGAAGACTACGGCGAATACGACGACGGCTACTACCTGAACGGCGGCGACAACCACCCGAGCGGCACCGTCAAGGTCCTCAAGGCGTCCACCGGCCGCGTCGTCTACACCAACAACGTGTCGTGGGAGACGTCGGCGCCAGCCGGTGAGGGGGGTTCCGCTGGTATTACCGCTGCGCCGACACCCCCCCCGTTCACGCCGCCGGTCGTCTCGATCAACTTTGGCCCAGCACCGACGCCTTCGACTGCCGCAACGCCGCCGCCAGCGACCACGCCACCGCCCGCTCCCACGCCTTCACAACCGCCCTCTGCCACTTCGCCGTCACCGTCGGCGACCCCCGCTCCTGGCCAGCCGTCCTCTGCCTCTTCGCTGTCACCGTCGGCGACCCCAGATTCAGACCAGCCGCCGCCGCCGCCGAACCCCGCGATGCCCGCGCTTACGGCTCACGCCATGCGGCAGCTTCACCCGGGTACAAAGGCCGAGGTTACAACAGACGCGCGGCTGCCAAGCCGTACGAGATCGGGCACAAGGCACAGCACAGGACTCATCTCGATGCTAGACAAGAATACTCTGGTGTCG